TGGTCTTTGTTCTGATGATAGTTGTATTGTTAAACTTTCAAATGGTTTTAAAAGTAGAACAAAATCATTAATTGTTTGCCACTGTTCATTTGATGGCATGTTTGGACATCGTGGTAAACTCATTGAAACCAGCATCAGAGGTTCTTTAACTAGTAGCAAACGTTCCATCATAGTTAATGTACTATTCCAACGAATTGCTATATCTTGTTTTAACTTTAAAACAGGAGAGTTGAGTTGTTTCTGTTTTTCATGAAGAATTCTAGTTGATACCTCGCTATGCTTGAAATGCCCAACAATAGAACGACACATTTTAACCAGCTTCATCATATCTACTTCTTCAGTATGGTTTGTGTCAATATCATTTTCTTCAAATTCACTTTTCAATGCATTTTTCACAGCATTATTTAATTTATGAGCAGCACATGGAATATGGTCAATTCCAAGTAATTTAATGGCTGCCTTAATATTTGCACCAGAGTCTGTTACGATTGCTACAACTTTAGTGTTTATTTTCCACTCTCTAATGATATCTGTTAGTACTCCAGATAAATACTGTGCTGTATGGTTGGATTCCAGTTTTCTTGTCGTTAGAACATATGTTTTTAAATTTAAATTATTGTCAAAAAAATGTACAGTTACAGTTATGAAAGATATTGTATTCAATGAAGTCCAAATATCTGAAGTGAGTGATACATATTTTGTATGAGACAAAATAGTTTCAATCATTTTACGTGTCGAATCATACAAATTTCGTATAAGAGTTGTTCCAATAAGTTTTCGGCTTGGCAACTTATAACGCGAATCAAGTAGATTAACAAGTTTTTGAAATCCACTGTTTTCTACGATAGATAATGGTTGCATATCTTCTGCTATCATTTCAACCACAGCTTTGTTAAATTGGTCTACTTTACTGTCAGGTGGTAAGCTAAACCTATCAAAGAATATTATACATAATTAACTTTTTATGAATTAAAATATAAATAGGTTTATTTAAAAATTTGTATCTGGATGATTGTACAAATGTGAAATATTAGTAATATTTTACATTTTTACCTATTCATTAGTGTCAATTGTTTTTGTCTTTTGGGAGGTGGTCCTTCTATCTGTACAGTACTGTGTTCATAATGAGTCACTGCTGTAGAATCTAAAGAAGATAAACAAATATTTATTATAAAGAATTGAAGAGTTTTACAAATTATAATATTATTTAAATAAAAAAATAATTAAATTAATTGATTGATTGAGGTTACTTCCCTTAAAAAAATGTGAATTTCAAATTATTTATTTAAGATATATTATTTTCAAAGTAAATCAACCCTTAATGACAATTTTGGTTTTTAATTTTTATGTCAGTTACATTTATTATTTTTTTTTATTAGAAAGTAAAATTTACCTAATGATGACATTAAAAAATACTATTATTTTACAAATACATTAAATTTAAAAAAAAATAGTTCTTACTTAATAAATTTACATTTACACTTACTTAGTACCACAAAAGAAAATTTGAAACATTAAAATAACATAATAATGCCAAAATATGTAAAAAAAAAAATTTGGTATATATACTCAGATTTTATCTATCACTAACAAATAATAGTGGGACAAAGTTACCCCGGCCTCGAAAATGTAAGTTTACAGCCACACATTTGTTTTTATTTCAAATGTCTTAATAAATACTTTATTAGTACCATATTTGTGAAAATGTATCAGACTTACAGAGTTCAGCGACAATTATTTCATATAGCACGAGAAAAGAGTTTTTGAGAGCGTATTTTTGCGTCGAAAAACCGTTACAACTTTACAAGGTAAGGTATGACAAAAATAATTTTATTTTATAACAAGGCAAGTGATAACGGCAAAAACTGTTATCATATTCTGTTACCAGTGTTGCCAGCTGTCGAAAACCATCACAACATTTTGATAATAGTCACACGTCTTATCACAGAATACAAAAGTATGTGAAATTTCAACGGTGGGACAAAGTTTCCAACCCGGGGCCAAATTCAGACAAATTTATAACCGAGAAGTTGTGTTGTAAGTATTCTGGAATAACATTATATATTTAAAAAAATTTAATATAATTTTTGTAATTATTAGCATAAATAAGATCAAAGTATTAATTGCACACCATTAACTGCCTTAGAAATCCAGAAGGTGCACAAAACTACACGCATTTACAGTTCCGGTTTTGTCTTAACAAAATGCGACGTTGTCGTCGTACAAAAAATCCAACCTCTATTGATCAGTTAGCAGATATATTGAATGAATCTACAACATCTACATCATATATATCAACATTGCAGCGTCCTTCTTCAAGGTACATGAAATAAATTAAAAATATTTTTTGTTTTATTTATCATTTCTTTATCATTTTACTTAGATTTTTTCAACATGATTGTCCATTGATGGTAGATGGAGAACGAGTTGGTGTAGTATTTGCTAATACAGAATATGCAATCGACAAATATAGGGGAGAACTACTCCAATCAATTACCATCGCAGGAGTAGATGGTACTTTTAAAACCGTGCCGAGAAATCCTCCTGATTTGAAAAAAGGCTGCCTGCTTACTTTTCATATAGTTTTCAGAAATGTGGTAAGTTATTTTTTTTTAACTATTAATTCTATCTACCGATAATATCTTTTTTTTTTACCTAGTCTTCCCAATTGTGTATGCATTGACTACAAGGATGACACAATCCACATATGAGTCCTTTTTAGAATTGTACAACAGATTTTACCTCTGAACTACAACCAGTTAACCATCATAACAGATTATGAACTAGGTTTGATGAACGCAGTAAGGGTTGTTTTTACTCTAAGCTCCAGGGATGTTGGTTCCATTTTTGCCAGTCTGTTATCAGGTACTGCAAAAGAAGCATGAACAGTCTATTCCAACTATTTCAGACAAGTGTTGAGGCGGCCATAGTTTTACGCATGGTAATATGCTATTACGATGAAATAATTTTGTAATTATTTAATTTGCCTAAAATTAGTTTGATATTTTTACTTACTTGGTTAAATTCGATTTGGGTTTTTAATTTTTAGGTGTTAGCTCTACCCCATCTTCCTGCTGAGCCCCAAATTAATTGTAATTTCACAATGTTAGATGGTTTTCAAATAATCGTGGAATATGTCAACCAACAACCTGTAATTCGCGAACGCCTACAAGGATTTTTATTTGGCTCCATACACAATTTTTGGTTTAGACAAATAAACGCTGAAAACATAAGTGTCTTTGGGTTAGAATTCTTAAAAATAACATACCTACACAGATTATTGTCATATAAATTATAATATATATTTTTGTAATATATCTTAGGTCAGAGGTTAGAACTAACAATTATGTTGAGTCCTTTCATGCCACACTGAAGACACAGATTGGAAAACACCCCAATATCTGGGATTTCATGCGCCAGAGACTTGTCGGTTTTTGTGTTGGTTCATGTTCATCGGTCCTGTGTTGCCGCCAGCCACAAACCATGTTTTTACAGTACACTTGTGTATCGCAATACATGTACTCAAATCGTCTGGTAACCGTATACACACTGATACAATTTTTCTAATAGTTTTTTCCCCATTCTAGGGTGGTCAAATTATCAACGCGTGGTTGTGTTTGTTGAGGCGGTGGTGTCATGGCATCAGCAGTCCCTTCTCGGCGGCATCATTTTATCATTGTTCGTTTTGTTTTGTGAGTATTGGTTAACCGTTAATGTTCAAACTAGTATTACAGCCGACGGGCTCTAGTCATTACTTATTAGTATAAATTTGCCAGCAGACAAAAATCATTATTTTGTATATCAGCAGACCAGGCTTATTACTCGCTTGTTTTTTACATTGTTATTGATTTACTATCATATTTTATTATTATTGTTAGCCAACAGGCATTTCATATTATTCTCTTGTTATTGCCATCACATGTGTAATTTAATATACTTATAACCACCAGAGACTTACAATTAACACCTGATTATTATTACCTTACTTATTTCTTACTTCATTATTATTCATTAGGGGTGAGGGTGTACTTGGTGTTTCGGTTGATACATCAAGCATCAACATTTTTTTGGTGACCTCGACGTGATACATTTAATTCTTTATCAAGTTATTTGCTGTTATGTTAAACTTGTAAGTGTAATAGTTGGTTTGTTGTTTCCCTCTGGTGTGTTACAGGTTATTGTAGTATAGTTAATCACTGTGACAAGCAAAAGTTGTAACTCATAGACTGACAGTACCGTTAGTTTACTTTTAAGTTAGTCAATTATTGTCTTGTAGGGTACAAAAAGTATAAACCACACTGTCAGTAAAAATCAGTCAACAATCACCGTGGTTGGATTGTTAATTTTGTAAATTCTTAACTTGTCTTTTTTATTTTTTTATTGTGAGATAAGCACTTGGTGCATAACACTTTTTTGTAAAACAGTTATGGCTGCCAAAGTGGTGAAGAAGAAGCTGAAGACTATTGCCTCTGAACTTGCAGCGCTATTGTCATTCATCTCTCAGTTTGATGTTTCAACTGGTAACATCAACGTGGTGCATGTAAGGATCGAATGCTTGCCTGATATCTCTGAGAGATTTGAACTGCTTCAAACCGAACTAGAGAACCTTGAGTGACATGTCCCTGATGAGCAATGTATTACTGAACGATTGACACACAAAGATCTTCTGTTCAGTGTCAAAGCATCTTTAATGAGTCTTTTGGATTCAAAGCAGGAGAATAGTTCAAGCGCTCCCTCAGTCAGTGAGGTGAGAAGACTTGATGGTGAAAGTTCAATGAGACTTCCGCTAATTGATGCACCAAAATTTAATGGCGACTGGCAGATGTGGACGTCGTTCATAGACTCATTCAATGCCATGTTTCATACAAACAAGAAACTAGCTCCAGTTTAACGGTTGCATTATTTAAAGAGTTGCCTAGGACAGGCTCGTGAGGTCATTAGGTCAATCCCTACGACCGGAGAAAACTACTTACAAGCATACAACACACTAATTAGCAGATATGGAAACAAGGGTGCCATTATTCAATCACACATCCGGTCACTCTTCGACACACCGAGGGTACACACTGCGTCGGCCACAGATCTACAAAATCTTCATCATCATATTATGTCTAATGTCAACTCGATAAGGGCGTCATTTTGCAAAGGTAAATTAAATAAAATCTGTTTCCAGACCTTTTTTGACGCTGTCCAAAAACATTATACAGGGTGTCCCACCGAGATCTGACAAAAAAAAAATAAATAAAACTGCTACTTAAACGTATGACAAAAATTGTTAGTACTATGTGATCACCAAATAATTTAAAAAATATACTCATGTCAGCAAATTTCTAAAAATAATATTTTTAAAAAAGTTATTACATCCCAAAATAATTTAATAAAAAAATTATAGATATTTAAAAAAATTCTAAAAAATAAACTACTTGACTTATATCAATGTTTTTACCATCAAAATTGTTCTTATAATCAGGTTCACAAATTGGCTATTTTAAATTTATATAAAAAATTTTAAATCAAATTATACATTTTTTATTTTCAGTATTAAAAAATAAAAATAATTTTTTGTATATTATACATGTAGCGCGAGTGGCTATAAATTATATAAGTAAAAAAAAATATTTAAATTTTGTATATAGCAAAAGTTATGTCATTTGTCAGATCTCGGTGGGACACCCCGTATTTATGATATTAAACGATTATTGTACTAAATATTCTCAGGTTGCCACATTTGAGCTTGTACATCAAAGAACCCAGTTCAACATCCCGAAACAATGATAATAGCGAACTACCTGATCACCAATCTACCGACAGCGTGAACAACAATACTTTGAACTTAAGTGGCTTCAGCAATCTGTCTCTTTTATCTCAGAATAGCGATGACGATACTAAAGTAAATTAAATGCTAATTTTAAATGTGTATAGTTATCTATAATATTATATTTGTCATTTGATTATATTTGTTTTTTACATTACAGACCGAATTTTCTGAGCCATGGGATAGTTCAAGGTGGGAACATTTGTTGCCTGTTGCCAGTAAAGAACAAAATCAAGCACATTTAAAGCCAGTAAATCGGAACAAAAGTTTCTCTGAACGTTTGGATCCACTTTTAGGTAAGATGGATTTTAAGAACATTTTACTAATATAATAATTGTTTTAAGTATAGCTTAAAGTATATGACGTTACTTTGAATAATATATTTCATTCAAATCCTACTATTTTTAGTCAGGTACATTACAAAATTAAATTTGTATGAAAAATACAAAATAAATTCCAATTATAAATTATCATTCAGTATGCCACTTCGTACTTCAGACTGAATGTCGTAATATTACAATTAATGTTTTTTTGCATCAGATTTAAGAATTTTATTTAAAATTTTAAGTTTATATCTTCAAAATTGGATTTAAACATTTTAGAAAATAAAAATAACTGTTTCAAAACTATATTTTAATGTAAGTTTAATGGTTAGATGTTTAAACGATGTCCATACAAGCAGTAATAATTTTGCCTAATTTACATGTTTTTCTACACATTTTTATTCAAAACGTGTAGTGCTCGCCACATAAATACGGGTTTTCTAACATCCTCTCTCTCTCTCTCTTTCTCTCTCTCTCTCACTCTCTCTCTCCCTCTCTCTCTATCTATCTATCTGTCACTATTTTAGATCCGTTATGTTTCGGTATAGAAGAAAAACGGCTCCACATTTTCGACCGATAATCGCATCATAATTACATAATAATTAATAAATAAATTTGTATTCTTTCCATGTTGTAAGTGGTGGGGTAGTCAATGAGTCTTCCGGCCTGGAATGAATCATCTAGTAATTAGTAAAAATACGAGCATGGTACATATATCAGGTACATTATAATGTAATATAATACGAGGTCGAATGGCTAATATCTGACCAATTCGGTACATACATTTTTAGGTGATTACATTTAATTGCTCGGAAAAATCGTTCAACGCTTTTGTACCTTGTTCGACGAATAAAACGCATAAGTCCTACAATATTCCAAATAATAATACGATGTTGCCTTGTTTTTCCCACGATGAACTCATTAAACGTTTTCACACACACGCACCACGTGTCCATCACTATTATACACTCCACATACTTCTCACAGTGTCATCATTTCCAAAAATGTTGACTATAGGTAGTTGTTAGTTGAGGTATGATGATAATATAATATAATATTACGTATTGTATGTATGTGACCTGTAGACAGGGTTTGGAACACGCATTTAACTAAACAAATTAATTCACATTAATTAAGTTAAGAATTGAATGCAGTCAAAATACATTTTTTTCAAAAAGTATATTCACGTTTACATTTACCAAACGTAGTGTGGTCATATATAGATACTTATTATACTCGTATCTTATTAATTAAATATATTTACCTACAAATATGGTAATATATTATTTTTATTTTTTCCAATGCATAAGTAAAGAGTTTAAAACATCTATCTAATATTTTTAGTCAGATAATGAATTATAGCATTGTAAATTTTCATTCGTATTCATTAGTGAAATTAACGCATTTCCAATCATCGTGTACGATTTGAGTGTACCACAATAATAACCCTGCCTTTAGGTATAAATGTATAATCGTTGACTTTGTGAAGGATTTCACAACAAATCGATGTACCACGTACTTAATATTTAAGTGCATAGTACCTATTTTTTCACGAGATACCTTTGACTGTCCGCCCCTCAATCTTAGATTTTATACGGGTAATATATACCATGTGGTATTCACTATATCTAGACGAACAATTTTAAATAAATGAAAAAAATTTAGATTTGAAAAGCGATGCAGACGGGTTTTTGGTTACACCGACCGTAAATCGTTCGTGATCTCACGAGATGATGATTAAACACCCGAGAGTCATTAAAATCCCGATAAAACGAGTTTATACTGCCGACAGCCGACCGTATTCGTCTGCGATGTTATACAATTAATAATAATTAAATATTCAAACGACAATATAGTCACAGTCGAGATTCGAGTGCGCAATGTGTTATGTCTCCAAAATAACGGCTCGTAAAAGTCAAGATCATTTTTTTTTTCAACGCACCCATTTATAACGATTGTAAAGAAAACGGACGTTTATATAATTTTTTTTCACCGCCTGAGATTATAGGTAATTACTCGTTTTTCGAAAAACAAGGTTGTACCGTGGGTGGTTCATAATAATAATATTGTAATATATTTGTAGCACATTTAATAATAATACCTGCAGAAATATAATATTATATAATATTTAATATACTTTTACGAAGGTCTCGTCGTGTTGTATTATAAACGGAGGCAGCCAGCCCACATGTTTATTTCTATCTTGTCACTGAAAAAAAAAAGAATTATTTGTGCGCCCCACGCCTCAACCGTGACATCGATTTTAAAAATGAAAAGCATTTTTAATCGACGGTATAATTATTGTATACCAATAAAAATCAATCTTAATTTATATATATTATTGTTGTAAAAATACTCGAACATTAAACAACCTATTTTCTTCATTTAGATTTATTATGCAACAGGTTGACTGGTGGTTCCTACGTTGGATGTGGTAGCCCGTTTGCGCTACTATAGTGTTACTGACATGTGGGCCCCAAAATAAAAAATTAATATTATATGCTGATTTATAGCCCATGCAACGTTATCATTTAAGAGAAAAATTCCAAAAGAGTTAATAATTTCCGAAAAAAATAATCGTCTGGTGTTGATAGAATCATTCTGCAGGACTATATTACGTCATATTTACATAGGTTTATATATTATTAATAAATTATACATATATTTTATAAGTTTGTTAATGAGTTTTGTTACATCTGTACGAATAAATACTAAATTATAGAAATATCTATAAATAAGATCCTATACATAATATTCCTAACGTGTAAGAAAAAAAACTCAATCCATAGGTACATATTATTATATTTATGAGTTTATGACTAATGTATATTATACAGATTAAAAATTATTAATGTACCTATTGTTCTATATCGTATATCGTCCAATAAGTTAACATTTCAGTTTCCTACTCATGGCTTGTGATTTATGAATGTCTTTAACTTCGTTTTGAAATTATTGGTTTTGACATACGCATACGCATTGGTTTTTTTTTTTAACAAACCAAGAGACCAGATTTCTACTCGTGTAATATATAAAAAAACAAAAAGTAATCAAGATTGGTTTTTACTTAAATTACCTAGGTAGTTGTACTTGTATTAAATTCCATTTTTATTTGGTACCTATTACAGTACCCACTCGTGCGTCGATGAAACTGATACAAAAATTACACACCTATAGAGTTCATAATCTATATCTACAAGTATATTTTAGATTTTATGTAGTTACCCAATAAATTGCGACGTTGCACAATTTTTCACTATTGTTTTTTATCGGGTGCGCAAATGGGTCCTTGCTATATAAATTGATTCAGAGAAAAATTGTTTGCACCGCCCACGTCGGACAATAATATATAGGCTGGAGATTGGTATTTTTTTTTTATCTCTCATTCTCATACCTACTTCCAGTTATACTTGTTACGACATAATGCATATTATTATTATTATTCTGTATACGAATATTCCGTTCGATTTTCACGTTATAAAATCCAACGAACCCCCGACTTACTGTCGTCCGGCAGAGTCGAGCAGACTATACCGTATACCAGTGTTTCTCAACCTTTTTACTGTGTCGACCACCTTTTCGATTTTTTAGCGATTCCCTCGCTAATGTATTTTTTTTTTATACATTAACCACCTGTAAGTACGGCCTAAAGTATTAACTGTGGTGTTTACGTTATTCTGTAGCAGTCCCACGGATCCAAGCACTGGCACGAAGCCGCTTGATGGCCCAAACCGGCACCGGTTCTTCGACCCGCGAGTACGCTCTACAGCTGACCGCGGACAAGACCACCGTGTTCGCCAGGTCCATCGACAACTTCGTGTGCTGCACGGTCGAGTCCAAGGAGACCAACCCGTCGGTGGTGATGAGGAACGTGCGGCAGTTCATGTCGGGCATGAAGAACTACCTGTTGAAACACGGCGAGAAGGAATTCCAAAAAGTTGTGGAAAAGGAGCGGAGCCAGGTACTATATTTTTACACTTTGCAATTCGATGTTCTATAAAATACGTATGATAAAACCAGCGGATTCACTATTTATTTACTTTTATTTTTGACGGGGAGGACTTGGAAGCACTTTAAGCCATGTTAGTTTCAGACATATAACGTAATTTATTATTACGCTAATTTCTATCTTATCTACGTGAATAAAACAACCATAGTTACCCGAACGTAGTGTTCTTATAAATTGGTCATTGAAATAAAGAAATCGCACTCATGCACATGTTTATCAAAACACTAACTTCCCTTTTTTTTTATTGTTTTTATCATAAATTATTTTTTAATTACCTCATTCCGTCCACAGTTGAAACCTACCGAATTCTTGAACCTCGACGTGATCCTGGAAGGCGTGATGAACAGGCTGGTGCTCAGAGAACTCCGGGAACACGTTTACAGCCTTCTGGTCGATGAGTACGTCAATAACGGCTCTATACCGTCCATGGTCGAAAACATACACTACGCCAAGTCTAAGAGTATTCAAGACTTTGCTGTCCGAGTAAGTTTATCCTACGAATTAGCCGTTAATCATTTTAATTAGGTCATTTAAATATAAAGCCAACTGTTGCATAGCCATATGATCGAGGCTTGGGGAAATCTATATTTTATAAAAATACTATGCGATATGTCATTGAGTGGCACTCATAAAATCAAAGCTAGGTATTAAAAATTGAATACACAGTTATTGTGATTGTAGACTCTGAGCAACGAATGTATAGATTTCTCTTAAAAAGCTCAAACTGTAACCAAAAAATCTAAAAGTTATACTGAATCATTAATAGTAATATAAATTACTTTAATAGCTATAATATCATAAAATATACTCATTACTCACTAATATAGGCTGAGAGACTTGAGTTTTCCTTCAGAATCGTTTTTCTTTAGAGATACAATGTTTTTATATCATTAAATTTAACACATCCATTACTAGTGACCCACTCGACACCTACTACAGTAGCAGAACGATGATCACTATTTTTTTATGATACCTGTATACAAGATTAATGAAAAACAATTATAATTAATGTTTTTGTCATGATATATTACAGTATTAATACTTAAGAATTTTTGGGTTGTTACTTTCTTAGTATTTGGAAAAAAAAGTAATATATTATTGAATTGGATTCTATTATTATTTTTATAGATTAAACTTACTTTTCAATCAAATATCTACTTAAAATTATAGGTCTAACACAACACATAATTATTAGATATAATTTTAATTACAAAAATTAATTTCAGCAGTTATGTACTTACTTTATGTACACTGTATTAGAATAAGTCAGCTAAACTGTAAAATGTGTTAATAATTTTTCGTTGCATTCTGATGGCTCTCTAGTGTTGTAGACACTCGTTCGGCGGCACATCACGATCACAGCATACGCCCCTGTTACATGTGTTTCGAACGGCCTCCGGCATGACTCCTATACAACGTCCCTGCAACGTTCCTACAACGTTTCAACAACGTTCCTAAAACGTCAAATGAACAAACCGTGTAAAACACAAACCACCTCGCCGTGACTTACGTGTCGTTTTCAGCAAACTAATCTCTCATCCAAACTACGCTTAACGCGTTAAATTTGAATTATGATGAATTTTGTCAAAATAAATTGAAATCTTTGAACAAAAATTCGTGCCATAAGTAATCTTTAGTTTTTTTTCTAGAAATGTGGATTACAATTTTTGTTGTGTCGTAAAGATTGAAAATATAATTCAAGATTTCTCATTAGCTGTAATTGTAAATTATTATCAAAGATACATGGCCACAATATTTTTGTAAGCACAAATTTTTACAAAATTCTTCAAAATCTTGAAAAATGTCCAAATAATTATGTAGTTACAAATTGATAAATTGTATCATTTTCATATAAAGGATTGTAAATTGAATATAAGGTTCCTCATAAATAGTGAACATTATGGAACCACAGTACCAAACGATGAACAAATTGAATAAATTACTTTTTTTTAAAATGTAAAATTGTAATATATAGTTCCTCATAAGTTGTTCAAATTCATCTAAATCATGAAAATTTGAAAATTATTATAAATTATTTTTTTAAAACAGTTACAAAATAAACCAAAATTTCAAATCGTGGATTTTAGTGGAAAAAAATTCGAATTGTAGTTGTAGAGTGTGTCCTCAGACATTTCGAATTATCGAGGGGACCGGAATACATGTATTTTCTTCAAATAATCATCGAGGTTTTCTCAGGGGACTCGGCTTTTAGTTCGATTTATGGAGTTTTTCGAATTATCGAGTGACGACTACTGTAGTATCTTTTTGGGGGTGGCCAAAGTACTCTACACAATACCCCTTAGACCTTAGTACTGTGACTTCACTATCATATACGGTCTTATGGTATGTTCTAGATATTTATAAAGATGTATAACAACAATATGATATTATGAAAAACGTATACAGTTTTATTTTTAGATTCTGAGCGGAGCAATGTGTATGTATTGATTTCACAACGATGTGTATTTTTTATTAAAATTTTTTTTTTTATTTCTCTCTGTCATCACCTTTTTGGACAGTAAAAATGCTTGGATTTTGTTCAACAGCATATTTTCTGATTTCTGATAGGAAAGTGAATTCAAGTAATTCTTAGTGGTTTTCAAAAGCGCAGGGAAAAACAAAAAAAAAAAATTAAGAAAACTGAAATTTCGACAAAATCTATTTTGGTTTTTCCTCGTAACTCTAAAAGAAATTTTTTTTTTATATTTATTATAATTTAAATGTTTCAACATATTGCATGTTTTTACAAGTTTGTTATTTAAATTAATACAATTTAGAATTTAATTAGAATATGGTATGGATGATCAGTAAATTTGATACGTGTGTTAATTAAGGAGTGGAAGTGATGAGGAGTGGAAATTTATTTATTAGGGATGTTAGAGCAGCTAGGAGGGGGTTTAGTATTAATTTTAGCTCGTTAAGGAAACTTGTGACGATTTGGAGAAGTTGATCGGATGGTGGTGTATTTGCTGTGGCTTCGGCATATGAGGGTTTTTCTCTTGGGTTTGAGCGTAGCGTATCATGCCCACTTCTGTGGGGTTTAGGTGGTACAGCTTGAGTTTGAGTGTGTAGATTATCTCTTTTTGTTGTTTTGGTTTTGGATTTGATGCGGCTTAATATTTTTTTGAAGGTTTGGGGCAACCTTTATAATTGGCCGTGTGGTTTCCGCCACAGTTTGCACATTATGCTGGTTCCTCCAGTTTTTTTGTGCAATTATCAGTGTAGTGTTCAGCTCCACATTTCACGCATCGCGGTTTGTGGCGGCAGTAGTTGCGTGTATGTCCATACTTTTGGCAGTGATGACATTGGGGAGGACCAAGTTGTCTCTTTGTGTATTCGAATTTTATTATTGAGTTTAATAATTTGGTGATTTTGAATATCTAAAAGAAATGACCGTAAATACATGACATTTCGACCGAATGTTTATATTAGCATTTTATAAGCACCGTAACATTTTCAAAATATTTTGACTGGCACTTGCCCCCCCCCCCCCCCTGGAATAATGTTATTTCCACAGAAATTGGTAAAATTCCAAATGAATTAGTTTCTGAAAATAGGTCTACTAAGTTTCCATAACATATTATGTCAACGCACGGCTGACGGCTATCTATGAAAACTATCATTAATAATAATCGGACTATTTTTTCAGTGCTCACATGGCAATAAATTATTAGCTGTTTGCTGTTACATATAGTGTATATTATCAGAGTTTCAATTTTTATACCATATATTGATTCAATTTTACAATCTATAAAAGAACGTTTTGATAAAAAAAATGATAATGCATTTTTACTACAATATCTTCACTCCATCATTTTTAAAAAATTGGAGAAAAAAACGTATTTTGAAAGCATTGAAAAAATTGCTGATTTCTATAAAATTGATAATCTTCAAGCTGAAGCGGAAAGTTGATACAGTTTTAGGCAAAATAAGGACTGCCGAGATATTGATTTTATCGATTTGTTGAATTGTAACTGTACGTTTTTTCCAAATATAGCTGTGGCTTTGGAAATATTTTTGTCTCTTCCTGTTACAAGCTGTACAGCAGAACGTTCTTTTAGTACATTAAGGCGTGTTAAAACATGGTTACGATCAACGATGGGTGATGATAGACTGAATGGAATATGCATGTTGAGTGTTCATAGAGAAAAAGTAAATTCAAATGGAGAAAAATGTATTGAAAATGCACTGACACAATTTGATAGAGAATGTCCACGGAGATTGAAATTTATAATTTATATGAAAAATAATGATGTATAATAATATTTTTTAATGTTTTAATTGTGATAATAATACCTACCTAATTGTAATGTTTTAATTCATAATTTTAATAACGACGAAATATAATAATTTACTATAAATGAAATGCATAAAAAAATTTTCATTTATTTTTAAATTAATTTTGCCCGCCCCTAGAATAATGTCTGGGGACGCCCATGGGAGGTACGTCGAGATCGGAATTCGAATTTTCTATGGAGGCAATATTTTCGGCCTTTTTTCGAAAAACACCGAAAATTCTTTTGCCACTATCGGTGTAATTCGGACGTCACGCTTGGCGTCAGCCTTGGAGGTAGGTCGAGATTCGTGCCGACCGAATTTTCTATGGAGGTTAATAACTTGTGGTTTTTTTCCAAATTTTTCGAAATACACCTAAAATTATTTTGCCACTATATAATTAAGGATGCCTATGAAAAACTTGAAATGCAAAAAAAAAAAGGAAGTGAAAATACTAAAATTTCTATGTTAAAAATTCGAAACACTGTTGTTTGAAACAACATTGTTTCGATTTCTCTTTCTAGGAGTGTGTAAAAAGCATGTGTCGCTCCGTTGCGAGCTCCGTGTACCAGGGTCTCATGCACTACTCGCTACCGTTCTTCGATTTCGGTGCCGCCTGTGATTGCGACGGTCGGCGGCCGCGGCATTCTGATGGCTCTCTAGTGTTGTAGACACTCGTTCGGCGGCACATCACGATCACAGCATACGCCCCTGTTACATGTGTTTCGAACGGCCTCCGGCATGACTCCTATACAACGTCCCTGCAACGTTCCTACAACGTTTCAACAACGTTCCTAAAACGTCAAATGAACAAACCGTGTAAAACACAAACCACCTCGCCGTGACTTACGTGTCGTTTTCAGCAAACTAATCTCTCATCCAAACTACGCTTAACGTGTTAAATTTGAATTATGATGAATTTTGTCAAAATAAATTGAAATCTTTGAACAAAAATTCGTGCCATAAGTAATCTTTAGTTTTTTTTCTAGAAATGTGGATTACAATTTTTGTTGTGTCGTAAAGATTGAAAATATAATTCAAGATTTCTCATTAGCTGTAATTGTAAATTATTATCAAAGATACATGGCCACAATATTTTTGTAAGCACAAATTTTTACAAAATTCTTCAAAATCTTGAAAAATGTCCAAATAATTATGTAGTTACAAATTGATAAATTGTATCATTTTCATATAAAGGATTGTAAATTGAATATAAGGTTCCTCATAAATAGTGAACATTATGGAACCAC